CCTCTGGTGGTTAAGAAAATAGGCTGGGACTTGTCGGAAAAGACACCATTTGTGATTGTTTTTTTAACTCTGCAGTTTTTATGATGAAACTTTTACATGCATTCAATAACACTAAAGTGTTTGATTATATGCATTAAGAAGTAGTCTGTGAGCTTGCTGGTGCCTTTAGTTTTAAGTGTATCTTAACTGCCTACAATGAAAGGAATAGGGCAGAAAAATGAACCGTGGCATCACTTCTTATGAATTATGGGCGGTAACTAACACACCTGTGCTGGCACTAGGTCCTGGGCTTGGGGCCGAGGAGCCTGTGCAGTGACTTCAGCCACCTCTGCAATCCTTCCTCTTCCGTCTGAATCCAAGTGCAGACACGTTCAGGGGTCAGGACCACTTCAGTCAAACATCTGCTTTGTGTTGTGCTAAGCAGGGGTCTTTACCCATAACACTGCACGCGATATACACAGTGACGTGTTATAACCCCATTTTACAGATTCAGAAACAAAGGAAACCTGCTACTTTTTAATGGCCAAATGTCAGGAGCCATGAGAATGAAGAGGAGGCTTTCTGATTTTCAAGTTTCAGCCATCTGCCTGGGGACTGGGTGCTGAATTCAGAATGGCACCCATTTGGGGACCGGTGAATGGAGAAAGAGGAGGGAATGGATGCTGAGGCCGAGGAATCAGAGGCCTTCAGAAGGAAGCATCTTCCTCCTTCCCACTGGGCTGCAGCCCGTTTGAAGCGTGCATCACGCTGGAAACAGACTCAGGACAGAAAAAGCCACTTGAAATGAACGGCGCCTAGACAGGCCGCCATGGTGGCGTGATTGATACCGGAGCATGTAGGTGTAATGAAACTGATGCTGGCTTCTCTGCACCTGTGATTTATTGAGGACAAATTTAAGATGAGAAAGGGCCCCATACCAGGAGCTGCATCTTCCCCTTCAAGGGAGGGTGGTCATCCATCACAAGCCATTGCAAGGGCCCATTGCAAGCGGCTCATCAGATGAGCCAATAGTCTCTTTGTTGGGGTTCCTAACAAGTGTTGGATCAGCAAAAGTCTATTTATGCTGGTGGACCTTTCAGGACCAATTTGTAGTGGGTCACTGATTCTGCTGGGGTATTATCTTCTTTACTGCTCGGGCCAGTTGGGGAACGCGGCAAAGATTAATGGTTTTGGCTGCCGGCTTGCTGCCGCAATCTACTGCTTCTGGACCAAAGATTAAGTTTTTTTGTGTTTTACCAGAAAAGGCCCACCTTTGTATGAGATAGGCTTTGATTTACTGACTTGTGATGGAGAAAGAGTCTGGAAATGTACTTGGTGATGCCAGGATTTGGCAGATGGCTCTTAGGTCTGGCATCTGCTCTCTGCGTCCTGGATAGAGGACTAGCTGGAGGTTTCTGGTGTGAATCCTGGGAGCCCTGGGGTCTGCAGTATCATGGCTGCTCCTCCGTGCTCACAGAATGTCAGATCCCTGACTGGCACCCAGCTATCTCTGGGTTCAGGAAAGCAGGCAATACCCCAAACTTGAATATTTATTCAAAACGGTTATCCAATAACATAATAATGGGTTTTCCCCATTTGCTGGAATTCTATAAGCTCATTTTAATGCACCTTGGAGGAAAAATTAAGGAAATAAATAACCACACCTAACTATGACTGCTAACATTTGGCTTGCACTTTCAAATCTAGAACCTTTGCTGTGCTCATGTGTTTGCTCGCTCTCTCACATGTTTAAGTGAATGCAGCATTTATGTGGATTTTTTTTAAAATATGATTTTGTAGCCTGCTTTTGACAATGAACCTTGCTCCTTTAGTCTTTCCCTATCTTTTCATTTTCCTTCTCAAGTTGGGGTTGTTGTACCACCTCCAGTGCCAAAGGTCTGCCCTGGTCCTTAGCAGACATCCGTGGTCTCCTTCTCAGCCGGACTGCTGGGACCACACATATGAGTCAGGCATGGTGCTCCTGAAGGCCAGGACCTCACATCCTCCCGGGGACACGCATGAGCTGTGGAGAGCTGTCTCTCACAGAGGCCCAGAATGCTTTGTATGCTTTAGAGGCTGAAGGTTTCTCATTCCTGATTTCTTGTAGGTCTCTGTAGAACCGTTGTTCCAGACAAGGATGTAGGCATTTGGTTCTGAGGGGAAAGAGCTGCTGTTGGATATGCCAGCTCGGGGCTGGAAGCCACTCTGCTCCCCCTACGGGGACATCAGCATTCCAATCTTGGAAAACTGGAGAAAGAGCCCTAAGGAGTCAACCAACCATACCAGGCAGATGCAAAAAGTTCCAGGGAGCCACTCACATACTGAGGCACACAGCCTTAGGACTCACACAGATGTGAGGTCGACTCCCCCAGCTGTTGACCCTGAGCAAGCCTTTTCCCCCCAGTACTTCATTTTCCTCATCTGAAAAATGGGTCTTCTCTCCCCAGCTCCTGGTCCTCTGTGCTTACTTACCATGAATGAAGATATTCAGCTCGTGCCAGCCTGGTCCCTTTTCCAGATGCTGACTGACTCAGACGGGTGGACTCTAACAGCTGGAACCACATGTCTGACTTGTGTGGAGCTTTTTCTTTAGAAGCCTTTGTCTCAGGGCCATAAATCACTGGTCAAGCAGCCCCAAAATTGCCTAGAATGTCTTGTCCTTGACTGTGACTGGCTGCAAAATGGATCATGGAAAGAGCCTGGGCCTGCTTTCCCCCAGATTTTAAAATCCTAATAAGAAATATTACTTATTTGGTAGTTCCAATGGTCCACTTTGTCAATACTTTTTCTCTGCACTAGCGAGAAGGCTTCATCTTTGCCCTGCTCCCCAGCAAAAATTCCTGGAGGAAGTGGGCATTTACTCTAGATAACAAGAGCACACCCTCTACAGTTCTTGTCTTGACCCATCACAGGAGCGCCTGTTAGCAGGCCCAATGTTGCTATCCCTGCCTCTGTCCCTGCTGCCTCTGTCTCTACGCGCCATGATGTTTATGGAAGAGAGCGTTCTCTAAGGTCAAGAGAAGTGATTCTCAGCCTCAGGAGCTCCTTAACTGGCTTGTCCTTTCTGTCACTCTGTCCTAGCTACTCCTCTATGCTCTCCTCAATTCCTTGCTTCTTGCTGCCCCAGGACATTTGCTCTTACTGTTCTTTTTGCCCCAGTGCACTTTCTAGGCTCCTCACTTGACCGTGCCCATCTTATCCTTCAAGTCTCTGAGTAAACGCTACAGAGAAAGCATCCCTGAGCGTCCCTCAGGCCAGACCAAGTCATATCCTCCGTGTGAGATGCCAACATGGCCCATAACTATCCTTATTTAGACTTCTCGTGCTTTGTAGAGATGACAGTAGAGTCAACAAGCGTGTGACTCTCCCTTCAACCTCAGCAGTGCCACCCTGTTAGGATGACCAGTTCTGCATTTCACACATAGTGTGTTCTCCACAAGCTGATATGCTGACGGAGTAAACAGATGCTTGACGGAGAGATGAGTTGAGGAGTCAGTGAGAAAGTGAATGACTGCGTTACTGAGTAGTATGTGAACGTCCTCTTTCTCCCAGGGCCCGAGAATAGGTAAGAGACATGCTGCTCCTTAGCCAGCCAGTGGTTTGACAGACCTTCTAGTCCCTTCTGTCTCAAGGGGCCAAACCATGCTCACCCCTAATGCCTCTGAGCCCTGCATCTTTAACTCCTCCTACTTGGTGGTCTGCCCTCCAGCTGCCCTTCTGTTTCCTCCCCTTTTGTTGATTTGAAACAAATCCTAGGTACCAGCGCATTTTATACCTAAATATTTTAGAAGCTATGACTAACCAATCATGACTTAGAATTTCTTTTAACATGATCATAAGTAATACCAGCATCACATTGAACAAAATAAAACCAACAGTTCACTTCATATCCAGTACTTGCTTGTTATTCAAATATTCCAAATTTTCTCAAAAATACATCCTTCCGTTTTGTGTGTTTGCACCATGCTATCAACAATTGCATTTAATTGGCATAATTCTTAAGCGTCTTTTTGATAGTGCACATTGAGAAAAAGAGAAATGTCATTAATTTCTCTTTTTGAAAGTGCCACGAGTTTCTTTTGGAACATCTGCTTATCTCTGGGTAGCCCTAGGTCTTGCACTCACCAGACTGTATCTTCTTGTGGGTGTGACTGATGCCCCCCTCCTGGTGCTATTCGAGGAGGGGGTGGGGGGGCTCCTCCATTCATCCCCAGTGCTTCCCAGAAGCTGGTAGTTAGGGTGTTGTCATATTCGATCTTTGTCTGGAAGCCTTTGTAAGATAGTGTTGCGTTCTCCTTGTTGAATCATGTCCTAAAGTCTGGTTGTCTCTCTTTTAACGATGTTAGGATCGATGTGTGGTTCACCCTGCCCTTAATTAACTCCTACTCCTGTGTCTGTTTCCATTGCTGTATGAACTTGTTTTGCAAAACAAGTCAGTTGAGAACATCGATCATATTGAACAGAAGTGGGAATGGGCAGGGGCTGGTGGCAAACGCGCTGACTTGAGCCGCAGGCCCAGGTGAGAGGTTTCACATCTGCCTTTCAGCATCCTGGAGTGTTTCCATGGTGGCTTTGAGAAGTGGCAGATAGGGAACTGCTTGGTGCACAGTCACTCGCCAGGGCGCTCTGACTCACCAGGCTCAAAAAGGCTACTGCCTTCATTCCACTAGACACGGAAGGAAGCTTAGACACAGGCAGTGTAGGCACCTTGCTCAAAGGCCACCCAGCTAGCAAGATCCGGGATTTGAACTCTGACATCAGGCTCAGAGCCTGTGTTTTTAGACCCAGTGCTGTACAACCCGCGACCCTGCCCTTTCCCACACTGAGTGCCTTTTAAACCCTTCCTAGGAACAGGCACCTGGTAGTTAAAAGTGTGTACAGGGTGGAGTAAGTCAGCCCCCAGTGGCCGGAGCAGGTACTGCACTCTTCTCCCATCTCTCCAAACTGCCCTTTCTCCCTTCACTACAGGTAGACACACAAGAGCTTTCACGCGGGAGGTGTGGGTGCAGAACATAAAGTCCAATCTTTATTTAAGTGGGGTTTTACCTACCCAGAAAAAGGAACAAAATCCCAGAGAGGTTAAGTGACTCGCTGAAGATCGCATAGTAAATGTCCCACTAAGTTAGGATTAGAACCCCAGATTGTCCCTAGCTTTGGGCACTTGAGCCTGGACATTCTGTACTTCTATGCTCCCATCACTGCTGGATCTGCTCTAGCCAGGATTCTTTACAAGTTGAAAGGGTGGTGTGGGGGAGTGGAGTAGGTTGGACAATCAAGCCTGCCAGAGTGGCTTCAGCCATCAGGGTCTGTCTGGCCTGTCTTCTAGGTAGTTCCTCTCTTGCCACCCCTATAGGTGTCTCAGCCTGATAACCTCACCTCCCAGGGCCTCAAACTTGAAGCAAAAATCACAGAAAAGGTGCAGAGCCTCTCTGGGAGCCAAGTTCTTCAGGCTCTAACGTGTAGCCCTGGTTATCCAAGCCTGAGTGTGTCCTCTTGCTATTGCCCCATCTTCCAGGGGAGATAAGAGTGTCTCCGAGAAGGATAGCAACTTAGAAGCCCACACTGCCTCAGTGGCAGGGTGGGATGCGGTAAAAGGCCAGGCCTCCTGTGGGGGCTGTACCCACACCTAACGCTGGTGGTTATTTTGTGAGCTCAGAGTAGCTGTGTGTGTGTGGAGGGGGGTGGGGGGTGGAGCTGGAAAGGATGCTCACCTAGGAAACAGCCTATAGTCCATGGTCCAGTTTGTCTAATGACAAAAGCCAAGATAATGATTGAAGGTGGCTTTGGGTTCCCTGGGCAGCCTCTGGCGCCAATGCCTGGGGGGGCTGTGTTGGCGCCTTGCACCCGGGGCATTCACTAATGGACTATGGCTGATTCCAGGTCTGATTGGCAGCCAGCCCCGAGGTCCTCGGGGAGATCCTGGAAACTGTGGTCTCCAATCTGGAGACACTGTCCCTTCTGGGAGGCCCCTGTGGGGGATGGGGTGGGGTACTCAATTTGGTCTGAGAAAGGAGTGTTTCTGAGCCCCTGGGTGAGACAGGAGAAACATGAAGTGAATTTCCTTTCCCCCCCACCCCCACCCACTGACTGCCTGGATGGAATGCAAGCCGAACTTCTAGACAGAGAAATACAACAAAGCTGTCAAGACAGGAGCTCTTAAGTCTTCTCTTCCTACCGCCTCCCTGCCCCGCTCCCCTGCCCCGCTCCCCTGCGTTGACAACACCCACTTCCATGCCAGGGTATAATGGAGCCAGTATCAGTGCTCAGATGTATTTTTAGATAACCCCTTGGGATATGGTGACCCCCAAGAGAAGCTAGAACCCCCTTCTTCAGTACAGAAGGGAAGAATGAACTCGTCTGGAAGGCTCCAACAAGTGAGGGCTTCCATATATCTGAGGAAGATATTCAGGGCCTGGGAGAACATCACAAACAAAGATACAGAGGAACAGATGACCATACAGGGGAAGCTGGGAAGGGACACCAGAGGGCAGACCTTTAAAGCAATGCACAAGGCCCAGCCCTCATCTGGCTGGCGACAGGGACCAACTGAAAGTTTTGGAGAGGGGGACAGAAAAGAAGTACCTGGGGTATTTGGGGTCTGCCCAGAGTCATGACAGACTCTTAAGCACACTAGGCAAGGTGAAAGAAAAGCGATGTGGTTGACCTTGGTCTAGGACAGTCAGTAGGCAGCTCCTTTGTGCAGCGCCCAAATGTTCCTTGCGCAGTGCCCAAATTTTGCTCGTTTACTAAAAGAGTGAGAAAAAGGCGCGTTAGGAAACTGCTGTAAAGCCCGTGCAAATCACCATGGTAACCTGATTAGCAGCTAAATTAAGTTCATGATTAAGAAGAAATAAATAAAAATAACTCTCCTCCTTAGCTGGGGCTACCCACTGGGCCACTGGCGGCTGAGCGGATGCTGAGGCCCGGACTGGCCCCTGCAGGATAGTTGAGGTGGGAAGCCCTATCTTGTCCGACTTGCCATGGGGCCACCTTAGCCCTGCCTCAGGGTGATGAGGCCCCTGGTGGTCAGGCCCTGTACTGCAAGCTGTGCTTCCATAGGTCAAAGGCATGGTTTTCTCTGCAAAGGTTCCTTACCTTCCGAAGGTGTCCTTTTGTTGTCCTGGACCAATCTTCCTCTATGAACACCCACATTCGATCTAGAGTTAGTTTTGGTTTTAGAAAAGCTAGGCTCGGCATTGGACACAGATGTAACCGGAGTTTGGTGCTCTCTGTGTATAAGGGGTTATGGAAACATAGGCGAGTCAGGGAGGGCTTCCTGGAGGAAAGGGTGCTTAGGAAAAACACAGATACGTGGATGCTGGACAGTGCTTACTTCTGGCGAACATTCTGTGTCTCCTGCTTGGAATGGACTAGCGGACGAACCTGGAAATAGGAGGGTATGGACCCTAAGGGGATCAGAAGGCGATTAAGTAACAGGAGAGGTGGGTGCACAGAGGGGAAGGAGCTTCTCATATTCCCTTTATGGACTTATTCCCGGTAAAAGCTATTTAGAGCAATGGCTAGAGTCAAAGGGACTTTGGGTCCAAGCTGAACCGCTTGGTAGCTGTGGCCTCTGGCAAGTGATTCGGTCGATGTGAACTTTAGCTCCTTGTTTATGACATGGAGGTAACCATGATCACAACGCCTCTCTACAAGGTTACTGGGGAAGATTGAATGAGATAAGAAATACTAAATGTATGTCATCCCTTGCATGCTTGCTATGAGTAAGTACTTGGAAAAATCTGCCTTGAACCAGTGGAAGACAGGGGATGGGATAGCCAGGAAGGGCCTGGCTGAGGTCTCCTTCACAGCAATTATTGTAGAAGCACTGTGGATGGATAATCCCTGCCCTGGCATTCCCATGCTTGTGTCTGACCCTTGGCTGTACTTCTGGCTGCTTCCAGCCCCTAATCCAGCACTGATGTGGGAGCTGGTTCACTCCCATGAGATAGGGAGCCTCCATATCCCCAGGAGCTTGTAACTTCTCCAGCTCAGGCTAAAACTTCAGCTCCTTCCTTCTTGTTCTTTTCACAGGTGTCTGTGACCTCCCGGCACATCCTGCTCCCCCTTCCTTCCTCCTTCCCAGTGATACTCTAATAAATCTTCTGTTTGCTTCTTAGAAGACCTAAATCGACACAGAAGGTCTCAGAGGGAGAATCCTGCAAATGAGTGTTTGAAGAGGGAGAAATGAAACCTAGTAGCTTTATGGGTGCTGATGGGGATGCTGCTAGGGATGCTGATGGGGATGTTGATGGGGATGCTGATGGGGATGCTGTTAGGGATACTGTAGGAGGCATCAGGAAATACTGATGGGGTGTCAGTGTCAGGAAATGTTGGTCTCTTCTTGAGTTCTGTCCTCAATTGTGGGTCTGTGAGCCCCCTGCCTCCACTGTACATGTATCAGTTGCCACTTTTTAAGTTTTCTATTTTTTTTTTTTTTGCACTAACAGAACACTAGTTCCTAATAGAAGAGCGAGAAGTGTTTAGTCTATTCTTTCTTCTAATCTCACAGAAGTCTTTGGGTCCAGTAGACATTCCAACAAAATCACACAAAACCCAGTGCTGTTGGGACCTAGGTTAATTTGGTTTTGCCTCCTGGTGTTTTGAGTTGCGCCGTGCTACTTTATTTGAGCCTTTTGTTTATTTCAGAGACAGCTATGTCCCCCTTCCTGGTCACACAGTGGGTAGTGGCAGTCTTGCTTCAGACTCTTCTGCTTGCTCCTTGTGTTGGCTAAGCTCTCTGTGTGGATGGCTCTGCCAGGGGTCCTCAGGGTCCTGGTTCCCTCCCCTCCATCTCCTGTTCTCAACTCCTTCTTCCCTCAGCCCCTCCCCCCTGCATGCCTGTCGAGATCAGGGAAGCTGAAAACCCAACCCTTACATCAAAAGGGAGCTTGAAAAATACTTGGAGCAAAATCTGCTAACTGTGCATCCTCGCTCTGTGCCGGGACCGATATTAAATCAGGAAATGGCACTGAACAGCCGCTCTAAACACAGAAACAAGGGTTGTCAACACAGAAACCAAAAGCAATCTCTAACAGGCAGAGGTGAAAGGATCTGGCACAAGGCCGGGATGGGGGCTGAGACCCAGGAGGGGGTTCCCAGGCTGGATTGTCTCTACTGTCTCTCCAGTGTTTAGAAAGCAAGCAGCTTCCCAGTTCTGTCCCTGAAAGATGGAAGAGATGGAAGAGAAGGAAGCATACTGTTTAAATACCGTTTGTCTTTCCATAAATGTCTGTTAAGCACCTACTGTGTGCCCCCACAGTGAATGAAAAGGATGCCTGCGCCTGTGGAGATGGTTTGTTGGCTCCTGGGATAGAGTGGGATAGAGCTCCAGTTCCTTGGCCACTGGAGTGCTTGCTCTTACAGAGCTTTGTGGCTCTGTCTCCTGAACAGCTGCACCCAGGGGCCCAGGAGACAGGGCCCTTGCTTGGATGACTCTGTCAAGTCTTCTTGCTTCTGTGTTTGATAAATTTCTGCACCTCCAAAGCCCCAGGCAAGTCTCACCTCCTCTCTTCAGCCTTCTCGGCCCCTTCTAGCAGTCATTTTCTTGAGCCCTGATGGCACTATGAATGTACTGTGACCAGGTCTCCACAGCACCTTCCCAGCTGCAATGCAAGGCCTGCAATTTCCTGGATGGAGGAGCCCTCGCTTCCCAGCAATGCTTGCAGAATTGACATAAAAATGAAAAACCTTGATAAAAATCCATTGTTGATGGATTTCCATCCTAGCTTCTAGATGGGAAATTAAATAGGTACAATCTTGTTGGAGGCTAATTTGACAATATTAACATTGATAATACACCTATCTTTCAATCTAGCAATCCCTCTCCTTGCTTTGAAGAGAAATGCTTGCACATGTGTTAAAAGACACATGCATAAAAGCTGTTGGTGGCAGCGTCGTTTGCAACAGAGAAGCTCAGAAACAGCTTAAATGCCCATCAATATGGGACTTGCTCTTTTAAAAAAGAAGAATAAAAAGAAAAATGACAGGGCATCCATTGGGCAGAATTCTGCACATACATTAAAAAGAAAGAAGCAGATGTAGGTATATGACATGGAGGTCACTAAATAAAACAAGCTAGCTGAGGCTGGAGACAGAGATGCTACAAGAAACATTGTTGCATATTTTACTCCAAGAACCTGGTCTTGTGCATCTATAAAGGGAAAAAGAACCAGAGTGGTCATTGCAGTGCCTGCCTGACCGCAGCCTGGGCTTCATCACAGTCCAGCATCAGCACCATTTTTATCAGCCTTCTGCGATGGAAGGTGCTATTCACTTCCTCAGTAGCTAGAAATCGGCTCCCCAGCTGGAGGAGCATCCAGGCAAGTGGGCTTGGGGTACCAAATCACCCCATTCCTTGGGTTAGTCTGTGAATGTTGGGAGGAAGGAATGAGGCTTTGATTAGGGATGAATGATAACAAGGGGGAGGAAGGTACTGGGGCATGCAGGAGAGGTCTGAGGGTTCAGAGATACTGAACAGTAAGCAAGTCTCCGAGTTTACCAATTCCTTCATCCACTCACTCATTCATTTATTGCATAACTATAATTGGATACCTCCTGCTGTGGGTATTATGCTGGCTACTGGGAACCCAGAAACAGCCCCCAGGAGCTCAAGGTCATCTCGTGTAGTTTCTCCAAATGTGTTTCCATAACCTGTGTGGTTGAATACTCTGTGTTTTCAATGCATTTTCTCAAGTGAAAATAATTTGGACTGACTGATCAAACCGCATTTGGCCTCCCCAGTATTGTTTCCTAAGGCTTTTCTCAAACCTGAGGTCTCCCTGATCCACCTGGCAGAAAGGAGGGGCAGAGAGGCCTGAGCCCTGTTGTCTGACAACATGGAATGGAGTTTTCCTAGAATGCTGTGGATGTCTTCTGACCCCCAAACCCAGCTACAACCGAAGTCCTCCTGAAGCCTGGGAAGATCCCCCATCCTACCTTTTCTAAGTCCTTCGGAGGCAAGCAGCCAAGTCATTCTGGGTAGAGGGTGGTATCATGTGCAGAGACCCATGGCTGAAAGCAGCTTAGTAGGCGGAGAAACTTAAAAGAATGGGTATGCCTGGACCATTAATGGGGGCGTAAAGGACAATTAGGGTCTGGTGGGAGACATCACATGCAGTCCTGTAAGGGAGTAGAGCTCCGGAGCTAGAATGACCGGTCTCTTAGAGCAAGACTGACTAACTCCGTGAAATAGCAAAAGTCAATCAGTCCATAGCCAAAGCCTCTGCTGTCTTTTAAGCCGTGGATGAGGATAGCTTGGATGAGGGGGGTGGGTGCCAGGTGGGGAACTGGAGGCCGGAGGTGGAGGGAGACCGCAGTTTTGGTCAGGCCGTGAGAGGTGAAAGCCAGGATGTGGTTTCAGTGTCTGTAATGATGACCTTGGGTGGCCCTCAGGTGTGGTGAACAGGGAGTGGCACTGGCTGGCACTGGCGAGCCTTCGCCCAGCTGTGGCCGTTAGCAGTGTCAGCTCCATCTATGTGACCACAAGCCACATCCCCCTTCTTTTCCCTTCTTTCTTCTTTCTCCCTCCCCTCGTCTTTCTCTGACCCTTCTCTTCCTCTTCTCCTTCTCCCTTTCCTTCTATCTCCCAAGCCTCTCCCTCTTTATTCTCTGTCTCCTTCTTTCTCAGCTGTTTAAGAGAGATTTGACTGGTACTTAAGGTCAAACTCAGGACACAGGCAGGGCCACCAAAGTCAGGACTGAGACTCAGAGCCAACCTCCGTGGTCAGCAGGCCAAGGGTGAGGGACAGGATGGCAAGACGGTAAACCTTTCCTTTGGCTGGCAGTTCACGGTGGTTTTTTGCTGTCCCCACACAATCAGGGAAGAGGGGGAACCAAGGGGTTCATGTGGCATCCACAAAAAAGCAGTCAGACACTTCCCTTAGAATTGGGAAGAGGCTCAGCAGTGACCAGAATAGCCACTGGTCTCTCAGAGAGTTGGAAATCCCCAAAGAGACAACAGCCGGAGAAGACCCATACAGGCACCTGCATCCCTGGGGGGTGGGGGGTGCTGTCTACTCATGGTAGAGGAACCCTTCCCCCACTGCACAGGATTCTGAAAGTCAGAGGTTCTGGTTTATCACTTCTGTGTAAATTGAAATGAATCACGTAACCTCTGAGAGTCTCTCCCTCTGTCTTTGGGTGAGCTAGTGATGACCTTGCCCACTACAGAGACCTCTATAGGTGGGCTGATGGAGGAACAAGAAGCTCTTAGGACTCTGATGTGTATCCCCAGCTACCTGCCTGCCAATCTGTGCAAAGTAGGAATAACAAGAGCTGCTGCTCCGTGAGAAATGTGAGAATCAGAATCCAGCAAAAGTTATTTCAAATTCCTGAGTGGGTGGAGGTGAATGTTTTCGAGAAACATCTCTTTGAGGCCATACTACCCAGTGGGTTATGGAATGTGAGCCTGGTGTGTATTCTACAATTTTCTCTCAGACACACTAAACTAAAGCGAAGGAAAATGGACATTTCTTTTGTAGTACAGATCCCTGCTCTGCTTAGCGCGGGAGGGGTTCTCCATCTTCGACTGGCAGATGATATAACTATGGTTGCTACAGGAGTACCAGGACCTATCATAGTACAAAACCTTGAAAGCGCTGGTTTGGATTCTGACGGCGGTTGTATGTGGCCAACCAGACTAAGTGGAAGTAGTAGCTGCTGTCGGAGGAAGAGGTAGGGTGGAACGACCTCGAGGCCCTCGCCCCCTCCCCCCACTCGCCTCTTGGAAGCCATAGACTTCCGGAGGTTTTCAGGGAGTGTTGGCAACAGGGCATCTTCTTCCTTTAGGGTCCCGTGAAGGCAGCGCAGAACTCCAGGCTTCTTGCAAGAGAAGTGTGGGTGACAAAGCGTCCGAAGGCAGGCTTCTGTAGGCTTTCTTTCCAAACGCTAGTCTCTTCCCTGTAGAACTCAAGCCCTGTGACCCTTGAATTTAAGGGCTTCTGCTCGGCAATCTCGGATAGTAGGATCCTGCTCTCTAGGGGGGCTGCGAGGGTTGCGAGTCTCCAACCCCTACACGTAGACAGCTGCGGTTCCCTACCCAGTACTCACACTGCACACGGGCACACTCCTCCCGCGTGCCATAAACCCTACTCCTACACTCACAGTTCCGCCTACTCGCTCACTAAGCACCTGCAGTCCTCCCTCTGGTAAACCTGGGTGAACCGCGCACCTCAGCGCTGAACGCAAGTGCCAGGGCGCCGCCCAAGTCTGGAAGCGCAGGCACGAAGGCGCGCCACTGGGTATCTATCAGGTTACCCCGATGGCGTGGCGGAGATGCCACGAGGGCAGCACCGAGATAACCTCACGTTCTGCCTCGTGCTCTTCAACGTCTTGGGGAGCAATTTCTTCCCCTAGAACAGAAGTGCCCCAAGGCCCCTCAGCGTCCCTGTATCACTGCGGTGAAGTTAAGGAATTCCAGGACGATGCAACCGGGTTCGCTTTGGAGTAAAACAATCTCAAAGATAAATCGAAGCGCTAGATAGAAAACTGCTCCGTATAGGGGCTCTAGCCGCTGGCAATCCCGGCTTTTCTTGGGCTCGCTGGAGGTTGCTTGGGTCTCCGGCCTCTTTCCCATTGCTTCTCTCTCCGCTTCCAACATTCCAATCAAGCTCCCAGTCAAAATGCGCACCAGCACCCTCTCCATCTCTCCTGTCTTTCAGGGTTGGGGTTTGTCCCGTCCTGCAGTGATACCCAGGACCGGGAAGAATCCCGCACAAGGATACCGAGAGCGTGGTGGCAGTTGGGAGATAAACGTATTAGCCCAGGAGTTCCAGTTCCGAGACCCTGCAGCAGAGCACATCAGGAATTAGAATGGGGGAGGCTGGACCATGAAATAGAATAGGCTGTGAGCAAAGGTCTTCACTTGGGGCAACCTTTCTACCCTTCCACCCACGAGATCTCTCTCTCTCTCTCTCTCTCTCTCTCTCTCTCTCTCTCTCTCTCTCTCGGGTAGAAGCAAAGAAACGGGTTTTGGGGGGGGGTGAGCATAGAAGCCGCGAGATAACTCAGCTAAGGACCAGAGGAAGATAGTGGCTCCAACAGAGAGGTAGTCACAGGGACAAAGAGGGGCAAAACTGCCAGGACAAAGGCCGAGTAATCCAAACCCAGAGAGGGCAGCGCATCTACTGGGATTTTGCAACTACTGGTCTGTGGCTGCAAGAGTCCTCTTCAAGGGCCACGTTCTTGAGAAGTGGGTTTCAGTCCTCAGTGGTGACGGAGACTCTCGGGGAACAAGCACAGCTCTGCTGAACTCCGCGGTACTCCGGGGAGGGTGTGCAGTGAGGCACGCACTCGAGAAATGCTGCGTCTCAGATGGCTAAGGGAGGGAGCTAACGCTGGAGCCCGGTGGGTGTTTAGAGAGTCTGCCTGTGGTGGTAGAGGCTGGAACCGCTGTTTGCAGAGACCTGGAACTCTAAACCCGAAATGTCCTTAAAACGTCCCATTGCCGAGCTGAGGTTCGAGCGTGCGCTCTCCTCGCTCTCCTCCTGCGACCGCGGCTGGGACAAGGCAAGTGGGTCCCTAGCGCCCATCTTCATCTGCCAGAGGTTGGGGCGAACGGCCCAGGCAGGCTCTCTGCCTAGGCGGCCGAATCATTTCTGCCAAGAGTTCACTTCTCCAAGGGTTTGAGATTTTCTCAGCCATTCAGTGATCTAAAAATTTTAGGTCAAGTTTTAGTTCAAATACGTTCACTTTGTTAAAAACAGACTCCTGAGACCACTGTCTGCCCTATCTTTCCTAAGGACCATAGAGAAAGGGTTTTTCTTATTTATCGGAGTCATATTTTTCTTTCTGTTACAGGTTGTCATTGACGCGGGCCACCCGACCCCCGTGCGCAGTGTTGGCTGGCGGTCCTGCGCAGCCCGGCAGCCAGGACACACTCACCTAGCACGCTTTCGGCCGCTTTTCTTTCCGCGTCTTGAGATGGGAAGCCAGAAAGCGACGCGGGAGGCGGGTCCGGTCTCCGGATCCAGCGAATAAGACATCTATTCGCTTTTGATATCGGGGTCGGGGAGGGGGATCTCAGAAAAGTCCCATATTTCCTGCCTTTCTGGCCCAGGGTAAGGAGGCTCCGTTGGCGCTCTACAGCCCCTTCTGAGAGTCTAGCGTTCTGCGTTCCCGCCTCCCACCTCCCCGTCTGCGCTCCAGAGAGGTTTCTCACCGGGTAGCCCTGGAGCCTCTCCACCTGGCGTTTTCATTTTAGGGCACTGATCTTTCCAGCTCGGGACCTTCCCTAGAGGGGAGTAGCCCACAAGCACACCCCGAGGGCTTGGGTATGGCATTTCAAAGACAGCAACCGGGAAGAACTCGTGGTTGAGTTCGAAGATGGGATCGCACGATCTATGCATAGTTCCTGGGGAGTCTGTCCAGGATCCCAGGGTGCACACAGCCTGTGTTCAGACCTGGCTTGGCCGGGTGAATTAGTAAGACCAGTATGGGTCCGAAGCGCCGTCCAAGCCTGCCGGCACCGAACCAACCAGTTCAGGGCGCCTTTGCGCACCGTGGCCACTTGGGGTCGCACTTTATGCCTGTTTGAACCTTAGCGCAGCCTTCAGAAGCTTGGATCAGCTTAATCCTTACAAAACGTTCAGACAAAAACAGGGCCCCGTTCCCCAGTAGCTCAGAGCCACTCGGTGCACCGACCGGTGTTGGTCTCTGCTCCGAGCCTCGCAGTACTCAGGTTCCCATACGACTGGCCAGTGAAAGGTATTCAGAGCCTTTGGGCAGACTCTTTCTTGTTTACCTTCTTTGGGAGCATTTTGTGGGTGAGGGATAAATGAACAGAGCCCAAGCGGTGAGACCACTGTCTCCGAGCTCAGTCACCAAACCGGCGCCTCTTGGCCTGAAGAACCATCCTAGAGGTTAAGAGTTAGGTTTGAACAGAACTCTTGGAATCCCAGCCCCGCCCTCCCCCATCGCATACAGTTGCGCAGACCTCCAGAAACACAGGCTCGCACGACACATATTCACTCGGCCCGCGGCGCCGAGGACACAAGGAGCGTCGCCCACTGGGCGGGGGCCGCTTGGGAACAAAGGGCCGGGAAAGCGTCCTCCAGGCTCTTATTCTGAGCCTACTTGAGGGTGACACGGGCCGAAGGTGGGAGTGCAAAGAGTATATAAGGAGGCGTGAGTGTAGGCAGGGGGTTGGGAACGGCGGCTTGGTCCAGAAGTGGGGCGCGCACCGAAGGCGAGTGTGCGGGGGGACCTCAATTCAGAGGGGGTTGGGGGTTGGGCCGGGCCGGCCGTCCCACTCGGCTACAGCGCTCTCCTCCAGGCCTCCGAGGCTTTGGGGCTCCTCCGGCCTCCAGTCAGCTGACGCGGGGGGCGGGGGAGCTGTCAGGCACGCCCCGCCCAGCGTCGCTGGGGCCGCGGGGGCCGTGCAGCCATTGGCCGACACGCCGGGCCGCTTGGGCCCCCGCGCTCCTGTGACATCAGGAAGCGATAAAAGGCGGCGGCGGCGCCAGCTCCTGCACAGCTGCACCGCCGTGCTGCGAGCGGCTGCAAGCAAGAAAGCCCTAGAGCCAAAGAGCCAGAGAGCGAGCGGCGGGCGCTTTGCCCCGCGCCTCCCCTCTGCCCCAACGCGCACCTCGCCTGCTTCTCCACCCCGCCCCAGCTCGACACCTCTCGGTCCCGGCGCGGCCGCAGCCCCGAGCTCCGGGGCAGCTCAGGCAGCCTCGGGAGGACTCTCCGGCGCGCCGCCGAGTCCCCAGACAAAGGCTTGGCCGGCGGCCCCGGCCCGCAGCGCCCTCGGCTCCCCGCCTCCCCGGCTTGCCGCTCTTCGCCCCCGCGTTTGGCTCGGCGCGTCCCGGCCGGCCGCAAAGTTTCCCCCGCGGCAGCGGCGGCTGAGCCTCGCTTTAGCGATGGCCGCGGAGCTGAGCATGGGGCCAGAGCTGCCCACCAGCCCGCTGGCCATGGAGTACGTCAACGACTTCGACCTTCTCAAGTTCGACGTGAAGAAGGAGCCGCTGGGGCGTGCGGAGCGTCCCGGCCGGCCCTGCACACGCCTGCAGCCGGCCGGCTCGGTGTCGTCCACCCCGCTCAGCACACCCTGCAGCTCGGTGCCTTCTTCGCCCAGCTTCAGTCCGACCGAACAGAAGACCCATCTCGAGGACCTCTACTGGATGGCGAGCAACTACCAGCAGATGAACCCCGAGGCTCTCAACTTGACGCCCGAGGACGCCGTGGAGGCACTCATCGGTTCCCACCCAGTGCCCCAGCCGCTACAGAGCTTCGATGGCTTTCGTAGTGCGCACCACCATCACCACCACCACCACCCTCACCCTCACCACGGGTACCCAGGAGCCGGTGTGACTCACGATGAGCTGGGCCCGCACGCTCACCCGCACCATCACCACCATCACCAAGCGTCGCCGCCGCCGTCCAGCGCTGCCAGTCCAGCGCAACAGCTGCCTACCAGCCACCCGGGGCCGGGACCGCACGCAGCGGCCGCAGCGACGGCTGCGGGTGGCAACGGGAGCGTGGAGGACCGGTTCTCAGACGACCAGCTGGTGTCCATGTCGGTGCGTGAGCTGAACCGCCACCTGCGGGGCTTCACCAAGGACGAGGTGATTCGCCTGAAGCAGAAACGGCGGACCCTGAAGAACCGGGGCTACGCCCAGTCGTGCAGGTATAAACGCGTCCAGCAGAAACATCACCTGGAGAACGAGAAGACGCAGCTCATTCAGCAGGTGGAGCAGCTTAAGCAGGAGGTGTCCCGGCTGGCCCGAGAGAGAGACGCCTACAAGGTCAAGTGCGAGAAACTCGCCAACTCCGGCTTCAGGGAGGCGGGCTCCACCAGCGACAGCCCCTCCTCTCCCGAGTTCTTTCTGTGAGTCGTGGCGGGTCCCGGCCCCCGCCCTTGCCCTGGCCCAGACTCCCTGTCCTGTGTCCCTAACCCTGGACTCCCTGTCCCTGCCATGGCCCCGGCCTTGACCTGTTTGACTCGAGAGAGAGGGAGGAAGGACGCGAGGGCCACGGGTGACGGGCGGAAGCACGGGTGGGTAGGGATCCTTGGCTCGGAAGAGAGCGGCGCAAGCCAGCGCAGCCTGCTAGACTTGGGCAAAGTCAGAGGGACCCCGGCGGGTGGGAGGTCCCGGAGTAACTTTTTCTCCAGGCTGAAAGGCCGCAAGGCCTTTTCCAAGGAGTCGCCAAGGCCGTCTGGACACTTCTGGCTCTGGGAACTTTGTGAGTGCCAGGCGGCCGATTCGCAGCCCAGAGCTCAGGTCGCCCCAGGAAGAGCAGAGGAGAGGAGAGGGACTCTGGAGTCCCCGAGGGCGAGAGGCAAGGCTGAGGAAGGAAGAACAGACAGATCTGTCTGTCCAGAGTCTGGAGAACACTGGCTCTCAGCCGGAGACGCGGGCCTCAGTTAGGACATTCGGCGCGCGAAGAAAAAAAAAATTTCATCAGTTTTATTGCCTGCTCGATTATATAGAAAAATACGAAAATCTGCATTAAAAATATTAATCCTGCATGCTGGACATGTATGGTAATAATTTCTATTTTGTACCATTTTCTTGTTTAACTTTAGCATGTTGTTGATCATGGTTCATAACCCCCTTGTTTCTTTGAGTGAGTAGGGATGCAGTTCCAAAACTCCTGCGGCTGCGGCTGCGAGAGAGCGGAGTTTCAGTCGCCGGCCGGCTTGTAAATTACCCGCCCGGCCAAACCACACTGAGAACGTAGCAGCAAGCTGAGTCTTTGTTTGGGTTTATTATTATGGCATTTTTGTTTGTAAGTAAAAATAAAAAAAGATAGAAAAACAACCAACTTTGTCGTGGGGAACCTTTGGAATTTGTATATTCGGTCCCCTTTTCCTTCCCATTTTTTTTTTCAGTTTCTTTGGTGTTGAGGGAGAGATTGCGAGGGAGGGAGATAACTGTGGACATTCACACCTTGGGTGCAGGAGCACGTCCTCAACCCGGTGTTCTGGCCAAACTGACCACCCCCTGCTCCCCAAGAAGAAAAAGAAAAGAGATCGGGCTCCTTGACTTTTCATCCCAAGGGCTGGCTTGGAATCCCTCCAGGAAGGTGTTAATTGCAAGCCCCCCCACATGGTTTAGGGTGAAAGAACTCCCCCTCCACCTCTTGCAACTTGTCAATGGTGACCTAAGCTCCCATCGAATCAAATGCCATTCTCAGAATGTACCAGAAACCCACACATAGGCAGGTAATGCTGCAACTTCCAAGTGCGTTCTTTAGACCAGTGCATTGTGTGTCTCCCTGCTGTTGGGATAGCAGGGACAGTTATTGGTGGTGTCCCCACTCCCGTCGGTTGTACAGTAGTTAGAGGGGAGGTCTGGGTGTTTTTCTTTATTGTTACTTTCATTTCTGCGGGTCAGTAAAAGGATTTAAGTTGCACTGACAAAAATACCAAAATGAAAGCGTACTTTTTTTTTTTTTTAAGTTCCCATCTGAATTTGCTGGCGCTGCTGGCTGGATGCTTTTTCTGTTTGTTTTTGAGTTTGTATTAGTTGATAAATTTACAGTAATAACAAGATTGTATGAACCGCATGGTGCTTGCAGTTTTAAATATTGTGGATATTCGTCCTGCATTGGAAACGAGCTTTGGTTTTTACTGATTCAACTGTGTTGAAATCAAACTTGCAGCAACGCAACAGAAATTGTTTTTAATTTCATGTAAAATAAGGGATCAATTTCAACCCCCTGCTTATGATATGAAAATATTAAAATCTAGTCTTATTGTAGTTTTAATTCAGACTGGTTTCTGTTTTTTGGTTATTAAAATGGTTTCCTATTTTGCTTATTAAAACCATTGAAATGGCGTTTATTTAGAGGACTCTGTGTTTCCATGACTTTAATACTCTTGTTTCTTCAAGAATTTCTCTTGAATATCAAGTTTGGGGCATTTGTTAGCAATGGACCCCAAGCAAGGGCGGGCAGATCAGTTCTCTCCAGTGTGTGACTGAGTGTGCTTTATGTGAGCCTCAAATGTGTCCTCTGCTTTCCACCCAGGTTCAGACCCAAGTCGAGAGTGCATCTGTACGTTGAGAGAGGGGGCATATCTGAGAAAGACACTCTCCAGTGCTTTCAGGCTTGGTGATCAGGGCCAGAATTGGGCTGCCAGCCGGCCTGCAGCAGGGGCAATGAACCACAGAAGCCGGGCCAAGAGTTGCCACCTGGATAGAGGACGTTAGGTCTTTTTTTTTTTTTTTTTTCTTTTGGAGTCCAGGGCCAGTTAAGTTGCTTTTCTTGCCTTCTGCCTGGGTCTCAACATCCTTCAGCCAGGCACCACCGGGCAGCTTAGAACTAGTCTGCAGGCTCTAAAGGGAGGCTTGCCCTCTTTTCTCCGAGGTTGATGGGAGCAGGTGACACCAGACACTAGATGTAGGGATGCCAGACCTTCTCGGTAGGAAGCTCCTCCTTGGAATTTCTTCCCAGGTTAGTATGTTCAGGGTACACAGGGCCAAGCGCCCTCAAAAAAAAAAGACACTGCATAGAGGAGCTTGGATGTCAGTGTGTCCTCAAATTGGAGGCTGAAAGGGCTTAGGCTGGCTATGACCGTAGCCTGAAGATTCCTGATGTGGAAGTGGCCCTAGGCCGCTTCCCTTTCCCTGGTCCTATGAAGGTCAGTACTACCTTGTGGCCCACACTCCTGGTGGCCTCCTTAGAACCTTGTCTGTCATTTAGATTGCCTTTAGACCAGTCTCTCTCTGGCATTGGGGCAGACTGCCCAGACCTTAGAGGAGCTCTCCTCTTTTGGCAGAGGCTAACTCTCTGTGGAACTTCCTGCTTCCACGTAGATTCTACTATGCCTTGAAGTTCTTGTCATTGGAGTTCCTAACAGGGAATTTCAGGATCCAGATGGGGAAGTTATAGACCCAAGCAGGGAAGCCCAGTCGGGGACCTGAGTAGGGGGTCGCCTGGAAAAGAAAGGGAGAGTAAAACTTCAAGGGAACAGATTTTGGCTAGAATCCTGGGAGCTTGGGCTAGTGATTGGCATCTCAGGAAGAAGTTTGGGGGCCTAAACAAACAACAGCGACAACAACAACAAAAAACAGAGCAAAATAATACTAACCACGATCCACACCTGTAGTGCGTCGGTGGTGTGACTTCAGCTCAGAGTGATTTCCCAAACCCATTCAATTTTCCCAGTGGAGACAAGGTTTGGCAAGCAAGGCTTCGGCCTCCATTTGGAAAAAGGCAGCCGAGCCCGGTTCTCCCACGTGTAGGTGGGAGTGATCCATTTGTAATTCCCTATGCAAGCGCCACTACAGGTACAGATATGCCACCTTTAAGGAAACAGGCCTCTCTTAGGGGAGTATCTGAGAGACTCCACTGTGCAGGTCCCTGCAGTGATAAGAGGGGATCAGGGACTTCTGGTGGCAGAGGCTTTAAATTTGGTGGTCTGATTCTGTCTAGAACCATTCGGAACAGACTAGCATTGTCCACTTCGGGCAATGCCTGGATTTTAGGAAAGGCTGTAAATTCCAAAGAATTGTCTTTATTCTGGATAGACACTTAGACACACCCAGTGAGGTCACCATCCTTGTGCATCCAGAAAGGACAAGAAGTGCCACCCACTTAGAGTTGCCAACTGAGTTTGGAGATGAGATTCTAGGCACAACCCTAGTGACACGTTGTCACACCAGGGCACCCACACCCTGCACTCACGCTGATGGCCCTGGCGGTACTTTAGTGCCTGATCCCAAATCACCCATTGAATATTAACTCCCTCCAGGCCACAAACGGAGGAACAGCTGGGTAGAGCCGGCAGCTCTTTGGAGAGGGCCAGGTCTTGTGGAATGCTCTTGAGAGCGGGTTTCTGTAGCAGGCAAGCCCCTCTACTTGCAGCCCGCCAGCAATTCGGGCCAGAATGCCACAAGCCAGGGAAATGGGACGTGGATAGCCAGGACCTCCAAGGTGCGTCCAGCGGCGGTACTCAAAAATCTTTATCCTTCTTTTTGGTTTCTATTTCTCCCTACTACTAGAGGGCAGCTCGGGATCCTACACTCCCCACCACCCACTGAAGGAAAAGTTCTCCCTGCACCAAAATCTTCTAGGCTTCCACTGATCCCACGTAGACAAGCTGGCGCCTGCAGACAGAGACGCACCCGGAGACAAAAACGCACAGACACCAACACCGGGAAGCACTCAGTGGGCACTCGTAGGCTCTATCTCTGGTTGCCTTATTTGCTGGGGCAGCTGCTGCCCTTCAACAGTCTAGGCGCAGTCGGGTTTCTTCTTCCCGGTGATATCTCACCGGCTTTAAGAACCTGGGGCAGTCGCTGCTGTCACCTCCTTCAGTTCTTCGGGGAGGCGCTCAGGTGCCCGAGGTTCAAACAACTCGGTGTACCTTCTCTAAGCCTCTTTTTCTCTGTATGTGCATCTCAGTCTCACCCTCCTCTCTCTCTTCCTCCCTCCCCTTTCTTTCTGTCCCCATCTCCCTCCCCAGCCCCCATTTTCCATTTCTTTAGCCTTTCCAACCTAATCTTCCATTTTGTTTACTCCCCTGCCCTTTAATCCAGGGCAGCCTGAAAGCTGTTCGCAAGCCAGGCAGGAGGAAGGAGGGATGGCCAGGCGGGTCTCCAGTCTGGGAGTCACCACTTAGCGTTCTGCACCTGTGCTGTTTAGGGTCTGGGCTTCCCTCTGCCCACTCTCCAGTTTCATTCCATTCCCGTGGCCCTCGCTGTGGTTGGCTGGGGCCTGCAGGCTGACACTCTGTTCAAATCTCTAGGGAGACTGAAGCTTGCAGTCACAGTAAGTCTTTGTCGCTTGCCTCTGGGCTTTTCTGTGGCAGGACGGCTCCCTGCCCTTGCCAGTTAGAGGTTCCCATTTTCCTTTTATGCTGTTCAGGGGCTTCTGGGCCAAAACTCACAGTGGAAGCCACACCATACACAACACTAGGCTGACTCTGTGACTTGGAGGCTCAGTTTCTGCCAGGAGGGCCAAAGGCCTCACACAGTCACAGGTCAGCCCTCCTCCCAACCCGTCTTCAGTTTATCCCTGGTCCGGAGGGAGCCTGGAAACTCTGGAGTAGAGCATGGAAGATTCTCTTGTGTGCTTTCAGATGCAAAGCTCCTTTGTCTTCTGGGCCCTTTGATTTCCCCAAAGGAATACTCTGGACCCCTTCTTGAGTAACTTTCACTATCTGCAGTCAGAAGGCTCTGGTGTTTAGATTTATAATGAAAGGAACTCTCCCCCCTCTGACCAAAATAAAATTCTTCCATCGCATATCCTTGGAGGCAGCATTTCTCCAGCCCCTCAGAGAGTCAGTTCCTCGGGAATGGGAATAGCTGAACTGGGCTGCTGCCCAGCACTGCATCCAGGGAGGACAATTCTGATAGAGTGCGGGGCTGGTCCTGTGTCTCCAGTGTCATCTGAGCATCAAGAGCAGGCAACCCTGGGCTTGCCTTTGAAGGATGGGGCTTTTCTGGCTCAGAAGACAGGGCCTTTCTTTTGTCTTTTGTCAGGGAAGGCTACTGGTGGAATCTCCTTTTCCCATAGTTCCTGGTCAGGAAGCATTCTTTCAGTGTGGGGGGGAGTGCATTCACCAAGCCCCCCCATCAATTCCTCAGCATCCTGTGTAGCTCCTCCTGTCCATCTGCACACCTTCATTGGTCCTGTACACATTTCCATGCCTTTTCCATTCTCCTACGCACGTTATCTTAACCGGTACATTTAGATAATATCAGAGCTGGCTGTTCTCACTTGGAAGAAATTAAGTATGTGAGAAAAGTTGCAGCTCCAACACGAAAAACCACCTAAATTAATAATAAGGATTTGTTCTGAAGCAGAATTCAGTTGCAGCAGCCTCGTGGCGTTCTTTGTGAGTGAAGCTACTTTTAAGTAAAACAGCAGCTATTCATTATATATTCTGTTTTATTTTATTTTATGTTTTTATTTTTTTAAAAAAAATGGATGCTGTCTTCGGGTTGGAGAGGGCAGCTGCAGAGGTGGTGGGGGAAGGCCTGCCTGGAACTCTCTGTGAGAAACAAACTATTTTTGACGTGGGAAAGCCGATGAAGTCCATACATCTGTGTTGTGGCACTTTCATTTTGGAGTGCTGTGTATTTTACCTGGGCTGAGACTTCCTCGTGTGAATGAATAGGGATGGGTACTTGACGTACTGTTTGAATAGTCTTTTTGAGGGGTGGCCATTGCTCCTGGCCTATTGTTTTACCAGATTCTGCAGCCCAGGCTGTGTTTGTCCCTCACTCGGGTTCCCTTGTTTCTTCTGGTCTGTTGCCCTCACTTCTCTGACTCTGCCAGTTACAATTCTGTCATTGCGTTCTAGCCAGAAGGGACATAGGAGCATGCTGCCCTGCAGTCAGCTTTGTCTGTTCAGAGTGAGTGGAGCAGGGCTGTATTTCCTAACATGGGGCGGCGCCTGCCCCCGACATCCTTTATTTCCTGGGGATCTGAAGAATCTGGTACACGGGATTCTTCCAAAGGATGTGGGACGGGTAGGTCACAGAGATGTGGTCCAACTATTGGTTTAGTCTCAGGATATTTCACTTAACTTGGTAGTATAAGTTGGTGTTATCCAAGGGCCAGAGGTGGAGGAGGGAACAAGGCCCCGTAGTCACTAGGGAAAGAGTCTAGAACAGAAATCCATACCTACCTAGTGATGAAATTTACTGTTTTGCTATAAGCCTTATAAATCCTTATATAAATTTCTCATCAAAGACATTCAACCCTTTGTAGGTGAGGTCAGAAAGAGCCCCCTTTGGGGGTTGGTTTTCCCCCTAAGCCTCTGCACAGGGTGGTTCTTGATTTTCTAGCTGGATACTTCATGTTTTCCAATCACAAGGCTTCCTGCCCAGGTGAAGATGTGGACCGTTGGCACAGACAGCACCTTGAAGACGAGGGTGTCAGTGGGAACTGCAGCTGTCACTCATTCTGCTATCTGACGGTGAGTGATGGTGCAGAGACTGTGAGTGTAGAAGTGGCATCCTTGTCCTGGAACCTCGAGCTATGGAAAATTAACAAGCAGTTCTCTCACCCTTCATCTGCTCCTGACTGAACTTTTCAATAAAGGGATCCTAATGACGGAGCAAGTGTTCCTAGCAGAAGCAGCCTCTAGGTGAGGCGATTGGCAAAGGTTGTTTTGTGTGCAATAGTGAAGCTTTGGATCTCACATAGATATGTTTCTGCTCTTAGGGCTGGTCCCCCAATGAATGCAGACACACACACACACATACAAACACACAAGCACACACTCATATTTACATATGCAGAGGCAGAATTTGCATGTATACATCATATATATATATGCTGTCATATTCACTTGTATGTATAACTCATTACGCATGTACTCAAATGCATGTATCCATGTTAGATGCATACATATCTAAATGCTCATGTTCATGCAGTTATAGTGTGCACGGTGTGTACAATTATGTACACAGACGTATGCCTCTATACTCAATCAGAGCATTATTGATTACACATGCACACAGGCTTGTGTAAAATGTATAGGGCTCCTGTGTACCCTCAGAGACTCACACATACTCACACCCGTGTGTGTGTGTGTGTGTGTGTAAGTGAACACTAGCCTTTATGCTCATTCACACACAGGCGTCATGTAACAAGGGAAATGCGGCACCAGTGGGGTTAATGGAGGCCCCAGACTCCCATAAATATTTATAGGAAGCACTCAAGCTCTCAAAGTGGGAGACAAAACCTCTTGTCTTGAGCCCCTGTAAATCACACGGGCTGCTGTGTGCTACCTGTCAGATCCAGGTTGTTCTCTGCGAAGGCGACACATACGTGCTGGAGCTGCTGTAGCCAAGGGTCAGAGGTGACGGGGACAAGGCCCTGTGGTCATCTCTTGATAAGAGTCCCCAGGAAAGGGTCTAGAACGAAAATCCATACCTGCCGAGTGATAAAATTTAATTTTTGTTACCAAGCAAGCCTTATAATTTTTCTATAAATTCCACATCAACGACATTTAATTCAGTGTAGGTGAGGGGGTCAGAAAGAGCCATCTTTGAGGACCAGTTTTCTCCCTAAGTCTCTTTGCCCAGGGTGGTCATCCCACTGCCTCACCAGGCATCCATCAAACATGTCGGGGTCATCCCACTCTTAGGGACACTGCTTCAAGAGTCAAGTGAAGCAGCTTAGTCCTCTGCTGCTGCTGCTGCTGCTGCTGCTGCTGCTGCTGCTGCTGCTGCTGCTGCTGCTCTTGCTGCCTGCTGCATGCAGGCCTACAGAGTGGAGAGGCATTTTGTGACTATGCGAGACTCCGCTGCTCAGTGGAGGGACAGCATCTCGAGCTGATTGAGGAGGTATGGTCCTGGTAGAAGCCATATTTGATACAGTGTGTGTGTGTGTGTGTGTGTGTGTGTGTGTGTGCATATGTGTGTGTGTGTTTGTGTGTGTGGTGATGGTGGTAGTGTGTGTGTGTGTTCCAGATTCAAGAGCGGCTCTCATCCACCAGTTTTGTGTCTACTGGATCTCAGGATCCCAGGCTGCTGCGACTGTGTTCAGTGCAAATTCTATGCTCGGTTTTGTCACCTGAAGCTGATCATCTGCATGCTGGGCACTATTCTAGGATTAGATAAAGCAATGAGCGAAAGCATCAAGCATCCCTGCCTTTCTGTTTCCGGTCTGATAGGAGAGCAGAGATGCCCTTCAGGCAGCACATGGAATGCCCACGTGCAACAGAGCAGCCTGACCCCTGAAGGCATCCACACAGCAGAGAAAAGAGAGCAGTCAAGGAGGGCTTGGTGCATGGAGTTGGTGCATGACTAGAGACCTGAGGTCCGAATAGAAGTTATTCAAGTCAAATGGGTAGGAGAACACTCTGGGCTAGTGCCACCACATGGATGTTTCCATGGTAACGGAAAGCTTTTTTTTTCTATGTTTGTGCCATCTAATAAGCTACAGGTGGTGGTTGAGACTTTGAATATGTGGGAGGCAGAGGCAGGCGGATCTCTGTGAGTTCGAGACCAGCTTGGTCTACAAGAGCTAGCACTAGGACAGGCTCCAAAACCACAGAGAAACCCTATCTCGAAAAACCAAAAAGAAAAAAAAAAAAAAAGAAAAGACTTTGAATATGACTCAGGCAACTGAGAATCTGAATTTTTATGAGTGTCGTGTATGTGTATATATGTGTTCACGAGTGCTGTGCATGGGTGTGAATGTGCATATGTGGGAGCGCATTTGTGTGTGTGTGTGTGTGTGTGTGCGTGTGCATGTGTGTGTGTAGTGCATGTGTGTGTGGTGGCCCAGAGGTCAACAGCAACTATTGTTTAATGCAGAGTCTCTCCCTGAGCGTGGAGCTCATCAGTTAGGCTGGCCAGGCTGGCCAGCAAGCTTGATGACCACGTCTGTATGTTTCAGTCTTCCCAGCCCTGGGATCAAGGAGGCACGCCTCTGTGTCCAGCTTCTGTGTAGCCACTGGGGATCCAGCTCAGGTCCAGATACTTTGTAACAAGCACTTTATTATCTGAGTCTTCTCCCAACCCTTCAGTCTCTGTATCATTCTCCAAAATCTCGTTCACCATCAGAGGTTGTACTTTTGGACACATTCTAGTTTCTGTGTGGAGAAAGGAAGGGGCATCTGATATTTGAGGGCACAGGGTGACCATAGAAGGGGTTTTGAGCTGCATTTTGGGGGTTGTCTGTCTTTTTCCCTCCTTCAACTTATCATTTTCCCAGCTCTAGCCTCATGAAAAAAAAACCTCCCCAAATAAACTGTTCCCCATTTCTTCCTGAGCTGAGAAGAAAGCAACTGAGACTAATTCTCTTCAAAAGGAAAAAAATATGTCTGAATTTAGGACTCGCGATTGTATTTCTCCTAAAAAAGGGACACAGCCGAAGGCAGCAACCCTACTGTTTTAAGCAGTTGCTGGTTTGGGGGGAGCAGCTCTGTGTTCCACACACTTTGTAAACCCTAGAAAAGAGTCTTCAGTGTCCTCCGAAGGGCGGGAGGGGAGGAGGGGGGAGAAGGGAAAGAGCCTTCCACAGTTTTGCCTTTTGTTTCCACAGTCAAGGAGGATGTTCTCAGAAAGCAGAACCTGGGTGAAGGGGCGGGGCATACTTGAAGAAGGACATTTCCGCTGTCCAATAGGACTGAAAATCAGTGAGGACAGGTGGCCATGGATATTGGTGGGAGTTCAAGCACTGAAGGTTTTCAGCCTCCGCGTTTCTGTAAGTATCTGTTTTTTTTTTTTTTTTTTTTTTCTCACTCATGGGAAGGAATCAGATGTAAATTTGCTATGTCTGCTTCACAGCTGGATGAATAGTCCGGGGATTCTCATCAGCCTTCAGAGCTGAAGACAATAAGGACCTCCTAATGCCACAGGGCCATGTGAATGTCTGCAGGTCCTTATTACCCCAGGTCTCAAGGACAGGGTGATTTCTTTGGGACAAATCTTTCAGGTACACCATCCCGAAGGTCCTTGATCTGTTGGTCAGTTCAAACATCTTGTGGGCTCCACCCATCCCTCGGAGACTGTTGTGGTGTCTTTCAAAAACTTATTCTGGAGCCCACTACTTGCTTGCTTACAAACTCAACAAGTGATTGGTCTGACCTTATTCTAGAGGAGAGCTGTGCTCCAAATTTTACTCTCAGATGCTAAGCACAGATTCTAATGACATTTGGAGATGTCAAGGGACAGAGGCTAAGTGGAGAGCCCCCTCTCCCAGCACCCAACAGCTCGTACTCTCACATGAGTCCTTTTGGCCTGTCCAAAATCTTTGTGTCCTTCAAGGTTATAGATTATAGATTCCTATAGTACAAAATATGTCATTTGAATCCTATGAATCCTCTGTACCACACATTTAAGTCTTTTTTTCTTTTTTTGGCTTCTAGTCTCTAAGAAGGAGGGCCTACTGTGTCTCCAGGGATCACCACCATCTCTGCTTGCACAAAGAAGGGGAGTTTGCCAGGGTTCCAGCTTTCAAAAAGTAGGGGCTTCTCCCTGGTGGTCCCTTCCAGTCTTTCTTTCTGTCCCATCTCCAGTCCTTGGTGACTGTTGACTTCAGAACCCCTCTCTACCAGGAGCCCATGCTGCTACACTATGCTGGGACTCAGGCAGGGGACCGTCATCTTTCAGTCTGGTCTCTTCAGGCTTACTCTTAGTCAAAAAGTAGAATCACTGGGTCCAAGCTGCTACAATTATTAATATGTCATAGTTTATTCTGTGGGCTATGGGCACATATATGTAAAAGTTCCACTCATATTATTAAAAGGGTGGTGTAGGCATCAAAGACATTGATAACTTTAACTTTTTCATTTATTTATTTATTTATTTANGGATCGAGTGCTAGGCTTCAGTTATGCTAAGTGAACACTCTACTGGCCGAGCCATGTCCCCAGCTCCCATATTCTTGTTCTCTCCCTCTCTCATTTTTTGAGACAGGGTTTCTCTTTGTAGCCCTAGCTCTCCTGGAACTCGCTCTTTAGACTAGGCTGGCTTCCACCTGCCTCTGCTTTCTGAGTGCTGGGATTAAAGGCGTGCACCACCACCACCTGGCAACATTGGTAACTATTAATGGGACCTAGAAAAGGACATGAGGAACCCACTGTATAAGACGTATCCTATTTTAGTCTTTGTGAATGCAAAGGTCTGGATCTAACAAACGCCTTCCCCGTGCCTGGTACTGTCAAATGGTTTGTGACTCTCCAGCCACTCACACAACCCTCCCAGTAACTCTAAGGGCTGGGAAGACACTGTCCCCATGTTCTGAATGAGGAAATAGAATCACAGAGAGGTTAAGCAATTTTCCTAAAGATGGCCAGCTAGTTAGCAGTGACAGTGTTCAAACCCTAACAGACTGAGTCTGGGGTCTGTATCTTCAACTCCAATTCCTTTTAAGGCCAAGGGTTGGATGATGGGTGACTTTGTAGCCAGCTGGAAAATGTTTAGAGGTTATCATAAAGGCCAGACTTTGAGAAGAGCGCCCCCTTCAGGCCACTGTGCATACTCTTCTTAAAATGCATGTACTTAGGGGCGCTGTTTTAAAAATATTTATTGACCTATTAGCAGTTAGTTGTGCTCCGAAACCGTCTACGGCTCCCATTACTTTTAGAGCTTTGTGTATGCTAGCCTTCAAGACTCTGCAGTCCTGGGTCTCTATGCTTCAACTCCTCATCCGATGCTCTGGGCAGACTGACTCCGGACCCTGTTTGAGTGCCTCTGACTTTCATACTTTATCCTAAGCATTTTTTTTAATCTACAAAGTTCCCTAACATTCACATTTTTTGACTTTTGAGGTCACTGTCCCAAGCAAGCAGTCTAGGAGGAGGAGGAGGAGGAGGAGGAGGAGGAGGAGGAGGAGGAGGAGGAGGAGGAGGAGGAGGACATCTTCCCTTCTTTCTTGTCCTGGGCCATAACAGGACCTTGGAGGAACTCATCTGGTGGAAACAGGTAAGGCAGGCCAGCTTTATTCTAGCTGCTTTGCTTGCTGGCTGTAGGGACCTGGGCAGGCCATGCCACCTCTTTGAACTTCAGTTGCCTCTGAGGCAAATGGGGAACATCTTGCCCACATCTGGTTTCGGGAGGGATCTCTGGAGCCACAGCTTTTTAGAAATACCTGGTGTGGGTGCATGCAAGCAAGGGGGCGGGATGAGACGGCAGATGCCATCGTCTGGTGGCTGCTGCGGTGATGGCTGGCACAGCCATGGAAATTCTCGCATCATCCAAGCCATCTCTGCTCTCTTCCGCTGTCCAGAGCCAGCCCTGCTGGAGGAGCAAGCCTAGGGAAAGGCTGCTAGAAGCAGCTGCAGAGACCGTCCAGCAGGTCTAACTGGTTTTCCTCTGGCTGAGACCTAGGGTTCCAATAGCTCTGAATTGGATTGTGAAGGAAAGCCTGGAAGGCAATGTGCATACCCCAGCAGGAGTGCTGGAGGAGTGATTACAGACAGAGCACAGACAGAGCCAGGAGGTCCAGCCCTGAGAGTGAACGTGCTCACCCACAGGGACTTTGTTCAGATGCTCAAACCGGGAACCTAGACTGAGGCCTTTGGGCATTTTCTCAAGGAGGGACACCCGCTTGGCCTTGATGCAAACTTGCCTTTCACCTGGGAATCACATTTTAGAGAGAACATCAGGGTTCTTAGCTCTTGGGCTGGGGTCCCTAACTTGATGAGAACGTAGCTTGTTTTGGGTGTCTGTGTTTCTGTGAGTTGCTGTGTGGATGCACATGTGTGCATGTTTATCTACTCATGGAGACTGCGTACCTGTGTGTGCACGTGCACACCAACTCATGGAGACTGTGCCCATTTGTGCAGAGCCCACAGAAAATAATGTTCTTTAGTGATGAACAGGCAGCAGGCTGGGAGGTGGGTTGTGTGGAATTACGATTCATGGTAACTTTCTTCTCTGTCCTCGAAAACCAAGAGGGAAGTGGGCACGTGTCTGCTGCCTAGTTTTATGCCAATTTGACACAAGCTAGAGTCACTGGAGAGGAGAAAGCCTAAACTGAGAAAAATGCCTCCATGAGACTGGGTTGTAGGCAAGCCTGTAGTTTATTTTCTTAAATAGTGGTTGACGTGAGAGGACCCAGCTCATTGTGGGTGGGGCCACCTGTGAGTAGGTGGTCCTGGGTTCTATAAGAAATTAGGTTCAGCAAGTCATGGGGACCAAGGACTCCTTCATGGCCTCTGTTATCCTTAAAAAACGATTCCCGGGCGGGTTGGCGGAGCCCGCCATGAGAAAGCCGCTACAGGAGGGCACGCTTCCTTGGCCCACGGTGGTGGCAGGTAACAGACACGTAAACACAGGTAATAGCCATAAGTATTTATTAAGGAAGAGGGAGAAAGAAAGACAGAGAAAAGAGATAAAAGGAGAGAGGAGAGATAAAAGAAGAGAGAGAGAGAAAACGCGTGCGCACGCCAAGGAAGCAGAAAGAGGAAGGGTCCCAAGATGGCGACGGGCAGGTCAGAGGTTATGGGAGTGGGCGTGGCTAGGGCAGGGACCGAAAGAAGAACAGCCTCGGCATTCCCGCCTCCAGGTTCCTGCCCCGTTTGAGCCCTGCCTTGGCTTCCCTCAATGGACTGCGACTCTGGATATGTAAGCCAAATAAATTCTTTCCTCCTCGTGTCGCTCTGGGTGGTGGTGTTTCATTACAGCAATAGAAACCCTAAGTAGAACAGGAATTGATTCCAGGGTGGTGGGGTATTGCTGTGAGAGACCTAACCATGTGTTTTGCGGGGGGTGGGGGGGGACGACTTCGAAAACTTTGTGTGGGAAAAGCCATTGAGTGTTCAAAGCTTGGTGAGTTGGTCTGTGGGAGCTTGGAAGATAAAAATGTTGAGAACAGGGCAGTCGATGGAGGCCTGGCTTGTAAAGTTTCAGAGGAAAGTTTGACAGTCCCTGAATCAGGGCCATTTGGTATTTTGAGTTAAGAATCTGTGGTTCTGGTTAACTGGGCCTGAAGAATCGGCTATGATTAACAAGATACAAGACCCACTAACGTGAACCCTTCGTTTTCCTGGACCAATGGACGCTGGTCAGCTGGAACTGAGACGTTAGTGGTGATTAAGAGGAGCCCAGCATCACTGAGGAGAAATCTTCTGGGAAGTGTTTCCTCAGACCCACCACAGGCAAGCTATGTTCCAGAGGCCGCCAGGATTGCACCTCATGCTGGCCGTGGAACTTGGTGAAGAGTCACCTAGGTGGTGCTGGTTTTGAAGTCACGGAGGGCAGTTGAGGCTTAGCACTGTGTGGCAGGGTTGGAGTCCCTGAAGAGAGCCTAGGAGAGGCAGCCCGATTGCAGCA